TATTTGTCATCTGCCTTAGCCACCGGCCTTGGCCAAATTTTGGACTTAGCCAAAATTTGGTGAAGTTCATTGGTGTGCCCTTCTTCATGATGAATAAAGTAACGCCCCTCGATAAAGAGTGTGGTGAGTATAGGTTTACCACTGGTGGAGCCTTCGGCTGAGTAACCAGATAGTCTCGGACTTAGTAAATTTCTTTGTACTTTGAGAGAGGGCCTTTCGGGAGTGCATCTCTTGGGTGATGTTTTTGTTGTAGAGCCTCCAGGAGCATGGCATCCAAGGAGTCCCTTCCCCCCTACACATTCATTTTTTATATGTGTTGTAGGAGAGGCATCAAGAAACTTGGCTTCTTGGAAAGGCTTGGCCTATATGGGAGGCAACGGGATAAACCGGTGGCTCCCCCGTCGGGAATTGACCTTCCGAGATCCCGAGGGGTTTGAGGGTCATTTCCTCAGCCCGAGACATCGTGTGTTGTCTGCCTCCCCTTGGGGGATGGCGCAGAAAGCGCCTCGGTTTGAGGGTTGTTTCCTCGGCCGTGTTCATCTGTTTACGCCGGAAAAGTTCCATAGCAGGGCATCTCTTCTTCTGCAATTTCCGAGGTAATCTCCTCCTCCTCCTCCTCCTTTAATATTTTTTTATTAGTTTTACATTAATTAGACATTAGAGATATATAAGGGTAGGGACCCAGTGGCTCCGACATTCTGAGTCCGCCACTGGTGGCAGTACAGGGATATTTGCTGCAGTAGTACATGTTTGATGAAGACAAACAAAAAACAATACCCTCTACCGATGGAGATCATCCCAGCATAGCCATACAAAATGAGCAATTAAAATTTCCAGGGCCAAATGTTTTTGAGGGATTTTGCATCCTATTTCATGATAGATGCAAAATATTTTTGAGGGTCCGCCACTGGTGGCAATACAGGGATTGTGAAAAGCCACATAAATGTTTTCATAATTCTTACTTCGTATTTAAGATTTCTACTGCAATCATATTCATGATGCTCCACTCTATAACCTATGTTGGGATGTTTTATTTTTCTTTATATTCCATTATTCTCAATCATTCATTACTCCAAATGCACAAATCAAAATGCATGATATATACATGTATTTTACTCCCTATAAGCTAATAATAATGCCATAAGGAGGGAGTTTCAATTCTATTAAAACAAATTAAATTACTGGCTCCATTACCCTAAATACGGACTTTAAAATTGCGGATAACTCAGTACAATAAAGAAATTGTTCTGGACACATGAAAATTCCATGACGGCTCCATTTTCCACAAAGCGCAACTATCAATCCAGTACAAACGATTTCACGTGTCCTTCAAATGTATTGAATATAATAATGGTGAATTTTAATTATGAATTCCATAAATGAAAATTGTGTGAATGCAGTAAAATAAACTTATTTAGCATGGTTCAAAATTGATCCGTAAAGCCCCGAGTAGAAGTAAAACAAAAACTTATTTCTTACTAAAACCTATTAAAAGAACTTCTATAAAATATAAATACCAGATAAAGACTTAAGTAGTGTTTGCAAAAACTTAAAAAAGTGTTTTTTAGCTTTTGGTTTAAAAAAATTGAAATGAGTGTTTTCAAGTGACAGCTTCCGCTTAAGTCAAGCACTTAAAAGTTAAAAGCTGAAAGCAGGTGGAGAGGTGTTTTAAACTCCTTTTCACTTTTTCTATGAAACACAAAACACTTGCTTTACCAAACACTGTCAACTTTTACTTTTTAAGAAACATTTTTTTTCTCAAACACTATCAACCTTTAATATTAAACATCTTCTTCAAAATCAATTTAAAAGTTACTTTTTTTAAGTAGAAGCAACCGCAAACACTTGACCAATACTCCTGACTTTAGAATTAGATTTGATTTGAAGGTGTCTACCTGTATAGATAAGATGTGTGTAATCATCACACAACACAACGTTAGTTACAAGTTACTGCATTTTATACTGCAGTTACTGCATGACATTACTGCATATCCGATAACATATCACTGCACTTCCGCCAACATTAGTTCTCTTCTCATCCTCTTTAGGAATTTTTTGATAGTTCTTTTAATTTTTAATTTTTTAGATTTACTAATTTTAGTATTTTTACATCTAATTAAATATATTGCATTTAATGTCGATGTTACTGTTCTACATTACGTCATAATCACTGCACTTTCTGCCAGGGTTATCATACGATCTATTGTCTCCGATTCACGGCACAACACACTTCGTCAATGCATTCATTCAATGCACATGTACAACATTATATATTGTCATATTCACTCCCCATATTATTCAACCATATTTATTGTCAGGTTCACTGAGTATGCTTACTGTCTATGTTCATTGCTCATGTTTAATGCCCACAAACCCAAATTTTAAAAATAGAGAAAGAAACCAGGTCCGGCGGCACCACTCGGCGGCTGGAAGAGATGTTGGGCTGGTGATTTGGGCTGAAGACTAAACCCTAGATCGTTGGGTGTTCGCTGAGGCTAGCTTTTGGGCTTCGCTGGACACTCTGCTGCTGTGGGCTGTGACTTCGAAATAAATGTGGGCTGCGACAAGCATAACTGCTGCATTGCTTTTGCAAGGAAAAGGATGCTTTTGGACGCATGGAAGGGCTATTGATGGGCCTGCACTGCTTTGACACTGCTGGGCAGTTACTGGGCCATTGTAACAAAGCTATTTTGGAGGATGGGGCTTCATTGCTTCGGATCCCTTGAGCTTTGTGGACGGCGGACAGATTTACTTTGATATTTTTTATACGAGCCGGGGTCTGTCCCGCGCTTTTTGGGCTCTTTTAAAATATCTCCCCCCACTCTCCTTCCATGGGGGTGGGGGGGATGGTAGTGATACGGAGTACTTTTTAGTTAGATTAGCTAGCTCTTTAGTTTTGACACATGTACTTGTTATTTTTGGGTGTGAATAATACAATTACCTTTCATAAAAATAATAGAGAAAGAAGAATTAGAATGAAGTGGCAGCGACTTGGATAAGTCTGCGAATATGAATTGTTGTGAACCTTGTGCCATAATCAAATAACAATTATTGCAATAAATAAAAATTATTCAATAGCATTTTGGATGCTTACGTTTTGGAGAATCGCCCATCTAGCTATAACTCCAACTTGCTTCCTTCGCTCAAAGACGGTCAAAATTGAAAAATTGAAATAAGGTTGTTCTCCTTGCTTGGTATCTGTTCGAGAAAGGTAATTACAAGGGAGGTCCGCGATGAGAATCCTCCATGGTGACCGCAGCGCCGTCTCGATTCTTCCATAGTACTCCTGCGATGGGGTTCCACGAATAGTTAGTCTTTCGTTGCGACTAACAACTGCCGACCGCCATTGGCCTGCGACCTGCCGGATCCTCGCATAGCCATCTTCATCCATCCCTGATGAATCTAGCTACGCCCTCTCGCCATCGTTTGCTTTTCTCTCATTAGGATTTTATAATAATAATAGGGAAAGGGTATATTAGTCCATATTAATTATTAATTAATTTATTATTTTATTAACTAACTAATTATTACGGATTTACATATTATAATGGGAAAAAAACTAACTAGGTCATAGATTAAGAAAGTCTGAGTTTTACTCATATGTAGGGTAATTATCTCAATATTTAAACCATCTACACCGTTGTGAGCCCAATGATAATGAATTAGGCTATTGAATATTGATTATGAAGACATGGTATATACAAAGTCATTCGAGTCTCACCCACCAATGTTCACTACTTAGTCCCAATTTGAAGTTCTCATACAATCTTCCCACCATCTATCATTCTTTTAGTATGTGATTTACCAAATGTTTTTTCATATTCAAATTTGAGTTTTTGCGATTGAATAGAGCTTCTAGAGTAATTTTTTAGTATGTACATTTTTAATTACCAAGTCTAATACTAACACACATGACACGCACACACATATATATTATTAAAGAGTTATTATCACCTGTTCATCATCATAACATGAAACAAGAATCTTAAAATGCAACAAAATGGGAAATGAAGTAACACATCCTCATTTATGGTTATCTAGTAAAGACAGTATTATGCGCCAAAAAAATTTCCTATGAGATGCATGAGCAAGTAAGATTGTAAGAAAAAAGGATGACAAGAACAAAGCGTTAAGTTTTTGTACACAGAAAGATGGAATAGTCTCAACTTATTCAATATTCGGAAAGATGACAAATAAGTCTTCCCCCCCTCCCCCGGTTCGGGTCTACCCCAACGGCTATTTGGGGTCCAAAAGTCCAAAACCAAAAAAAAATTAAATTTTATACCATTGGACCCGGACCCAACCCGGCCGGTAGGCATGGACCGGTTCCGGTTCGGGCCCGGCCGGGCCTCGGTTCAAGAAGGGGAGGCCCGGAACCGGCCCGGATAACCCCCGGGTCCGGGCCGGGCCAGGCCTCGGTTCTATTTTTATTTTTTTATTTTTTTTGGCTTTTCCTAGTAAACCCCTGGGTCCATATTAATTATTAGTCAGGCCCCAACCCTCCCCCTCACCCCCAAACCAACCCTAATCACCTCAAATGGCTCAAAATACTCAACCCAACCCAAAAACTTAAAAAAAAAAAAAAAAAAATGGCACGGCCCGGGCCCGACCGGCCGGGCCGGTTCACCTTTTGAAGGGCCCGAGCCCGAACTGCCATCCCACCAGGCCGGTTGGCCCGAACCGGGCCCGGAACCGGTTCACCGGGCCGAGCCAGGCCCACACAGTAGCGGGCCGGTCCGGTTCCGGGCCGGTTAGCCCTACCGGGCCGGGTCACCTTTTTCCTGAACCGAGCCCCCCCCCCCCCCCCCCCCCCCCCCCCCCCCGTTCGGGTCTACACCCGGTCCCGAACCGCCAGACCAGGCCGGCCCTGGGCCCTCACAGTAGCGGGCCGGGCCAGGTGGCCCGAACTGAATCCACCCCTACTTCTATAGCACTAGACGTCCAGACCTAGTTAGCTCCCAATGCTCATTACATTGTTGATTATACATAGCCTAATTACAAATGAGTGGGTAATGGTAATACCGTAATACGCAGCATACAATCTTTAGTACCCAAAAATAAAATAAAGATAATGACATTCTCTTACAAGAATTTGTGAACAGCATAATTATGCATTTATAGCAAAAAATCACAACCTTTTTCTTACAGCAAAAAACTATGAAACCAGGACTGATTTTCAAAAAATTACAAGACAGGAGATAGTTATCAAATCACTATCTAATCATCCAGCTTTTGATTTTCGGATTACAGGTGGCAATACAACTGTTTTGAGATTCCCTGGGTAAGGGGTCCACAAGCCAAACCCTCCCCTACTCTCTTTCAAACTAGTATCACCCGCTTTAAACTCATCCAAAGATTTCACCCATTCAACTTTAGATGAATGCTCACGGGTATGAGGGTGTAAAATAAAGATGGAGTTGTATTCACAGTTTGGGAACATGAATGCTTTGAACATTCCCCTCAGCCTGTACACAACATAACCGAAGCTTAGCTGATCTCTTGGCGTGAATAGGTTAACCTCATTGAACCATAAGCAACTAAACAAGTTATTCAATGCAGTGTGCTCTCGTATAATTATTGCCCCTTCGGGAACATCTACACAATCACATAGTAGCATTTGTTGGTGAGATCTGAGTTTGCATATGCAGAAAAGTGCAATTACAAAAGTAACACTAAGAGCAACTCAATTACCACTGGCTGTGCCTTTCTTTGGGCTCCATGGTTCCATTCCTTCATAACGGTATATTTTGATGTGAAGATCAATGAGTGGTCGAGCATAACGCTTTCTCCGTTTGTTTGAGTCGGCTTCCTCATATATACTACGATGATGTTTGTGCTGAGCAATGGCAAATGTATGCTTGCCACGCCATAAGTATCTAAGGACACAACGAAAACAAGCACCTTAATCATGTAGCTCAACAGAGAGAAGGTACAAATTGTGGGAGAATGCCAGGAACTTAAGGGCCTCATTGGGATAAGTTAGTACAAGTGCTTTGTCATAAGTGCTTTGTCATCTAAGCACTTGATTTTTAAAAGCAATCTTTTGCTTCCTTAAATATGCATTAAAAGTGCTTTTTATTATGAAGAACACTTCTCCCACTTTCTACCCAAATGCTTCTTTCGAAAGTGAAGATATTTTCTTTCTCCAAGGAGCACTTATTCCTTGAATATAGTCATCCTGATGGAAAAAGTGACACAACCATTTTTCAGAAGTGACACATTTTTCACTCACAAGCCAATATGGAAAAAGTTCAAAGGGAGAATGTCACAACCATTCGGCAACTTAACGGAGCAATAGGTAAAATGGTAAATGCAAATGATTCATCACCATATAACTAATTGTATTATAAAATCGAAGTACCTTTCAAGTATAAGCAAGGGATCAATAATTAGCTCCATTTTACCATCAATCCAAATGCTGTATTGTGCTTGAGGGAATAGCCGGTGGGTTAATATCTTAGGAACTTTGCCATTTCTCCTAGGCTCATCATAAGGTTGGTTTTTTAGTAGAACCAAACGCCATATGCCCACCCACAGCCCACCACCATTATCCTCCCTGACTGTGGCATTTTTCTTGATAAAGTCAAGAGACACTTCATCCACTGTCATAAGAAAGCAAAAAAGCTTTTGAGAGCGTTCACTTATGTTGGATGGTTGGTGAGGTGTGTCATATCCGTCAAAAATGCCAGAGGCAACCACAAAGCGGCACTTCTTTACATATTCTACATCTTTCTTAGCCATTTCGGCACCACCATTTGGCATGAAACCACAATGCACCTAAACATAGAATGACATATCTACACGTGAACACTGGACATCAATCAATTCATTTGAGAAGTAGGATTAGTAGGATAGTTATTTCATGATACAAGAAATTAGTGTGTACTCTTTGCTTTGACAAGTAAATTCAAAGTGCATATCAAGACTGTAAGAACAGTTTTCCTTTGTTGTTGTTTAGTATATTTAGTTGTCTTTAGTTGTTTAGTATATTTTATTTACGTATGTCAGTCTCATAAATTATTGGGTTACATCAGATAATGGGCAGAAACTCAAAACCAAAGAAAAACTAGAAAAGGCGATACACATACTTTTACGGAGAACAACTCAAATCCTATACAGCTCTCTCAATCACTCAGTGTATGTCCAGATCATGGAAAATGCTAGGGAAAGGAAAGAATAGCCAAATAAAGTTATTTTCTTGGATTTGCTAAAGAAAATTATGCTAATCAGCATTGCAAACTATTAGTGTTCAATGAGAAGCTATCAAAAACTCGAAATTCAAATTCTACTTTAACGATGAAACAAAGGCCTCAGCATTCAATTCAACCACTCGTCATATTCTCTTCTGCCAAAGCATTAGAATTAAATTGTATAAAATAAAAAAGTTATGATCATTGGACAGAAACAATTCCTTACTTTCATTTTTGGCTTCACAATAAAACTCTGGTCTCTTTGCTTCCAAGTTTGGTTTCCTCCAAATAGAGGAAGTGGACGGGATCCGCTATGTACAGTAACATTTTCTACAACATACGAAAGGCTCTGAACAAACCTTTCTGTAGATCTCAGTTTTGGAATGACTACTTTATTGGGGTCATCTGCCACCGGAATTGGACAACCTATTTGGTGAAAAGAAGGTTTAACTAGTAAGAACATTCTCTAATATACAGCAAATAGAAACATGCAAAAAGTGAAAAAGAGTCTCAGACTGACGGTGTGGGGGTGTCACAAGTCCCATTGTGTTCAACATCCCAAAAAACTTGCTGTCTCTGTTACAAAGAGCTGCACATGACAAAATTAAACAAGCCAGTATTGTAATTTTAACTGTAATGAGAATGAAAATAATTGGCCCAACCTTAAAAAATCTCATACTTCTTACTCAGTTTCTGCGACAATTGCACATCTTCTCGACCATAAATGCATTAATTAATCAAGTATAACCAAATAAACAGTAAAAAGAGATTCATGTCACACTGTAAGAGTGCAGCATTTGCTTTGTAAATGACTTGTAAGCAAACTGAACGACAAGCATAAGTATTAAAAATTGGGAGGAAGCGTATATACACCTAAAAAGAAAGATGCAGAAGATTGGCAAGTCCAGAGATGAAACAGCAATACAATGCAGATGAGAAACATCCAAATAATCCCTGCCACAAGTAGCAGTCGAATAAAGCCCTTCTTCCACAATATCTTCATCTGGTAATCTTGATACGCCTTTCCACTTAGAAGGAACTGGTCCTCCCCATCTGCACTCGATGTTAATTATTAAATCAATTACAAGTACAACACATCAAAGATCCAATTACAAGTACACACATAAATAAACCACCTGATCCGTAATCTATTAACCTTTTGATTGGTGGTTACTACGGTCGGGTCTTCGGCTAGCTCTCAATGAAGCAGACCGAATAAAATCATTCTCCATAGCCAATGTATTGAACTGTAGTGAGCTTACAGGGTTTCCATTTACCACAAAAACCAAACCTTGGTAAAGAAAAAAAATAAAAATAAACAGGAGTAAATTCAAGAAACACAAAGGCAGCCTAGATCTCAAAGTGCATTCTTTTTCATCAAATAGGGCAAATAGATTAATAGAAGCAAGGCCATTATGGCTTATGGGATTGTTGAATTGACTTAATCGGAACACTTACACTATGTTTGGATTAAGTGTTAGAGTGGGTAGTGATGATAATAAAACTATAGCGAGAGCTTAACAATGGCTGCGTCGGCACTTCGACAGAATTCGCCGTGTACGCAGGCGGAAGGAGGGTAATCTCTGAGGGGACTACGCTTCGTCGGCCTCTCTCAGGGGGTGAACAATTTTGCTCCACTTTCTGGTTTTCCTATTCTTTCAGTTTTCTTTCAGTATTCTTTGCCGAGGGGGTGTACGTTCCTTTGTGAGCGGTTTCTTTGATTTGTTTTAGTCTCGGTTTGGAAGTTTTTTCCAGCCTGTACATCGGCCAGTCTTTTCTCTTGGTCCTCGTTTTTGTGGAAGGGATTTGCTGGAGTTTTTTCGTTTTGTTCAGATGATGAGAAATTTGAGGAACATCAAGGCAGAGCAGGCAGACTGACCATCGTGGAAGAAGAAGATAAGGAGAAGGGTCTTGACAATAATACCCTTATTATAGTGTTTGGAGAATTGGAGCACAGCCCTACGGTCGGGCGGTTCCGGTTCGGTTAGGGCCGGGCCACCCGCTCGGGTCACGGGTTGGGCCACCCGTCGGGCCGGGTTGGGCCGGGTAAATCCAATTTTTTTACTTATTTATTCTTTATAGTTTTATACAAGTATTATAAACAAATTTCAAGTGCATTTATTTGAAATGAAATAGGAACTACATTTGACAATTGAGGAAAAAAAAATATAATATGAAATACATTTTGTAATCAATCGGAATCTCCGGCATAGGTAGAGCCACCATCGGTTGATTCATCCATAAAATTTTGGGATGGGGTGATGCCAATTTCTTGAGTTCTACGGGCCGCCTTCAACCAATCATGGTTGCATATAAGCGTCTCAAGAGATTCTGCGCTCAGCCTTGTTCTAGATTGCGTTAGGACATTGTCGACTGAACTAAATTCTTGTTCCACGACAACTGTTGAAACCGGCATTGATAGCACTTGCTTAGCCATCATTGCTAAAATCGGGAACATTCTTTCTTTTCCCTTCCACCAGTTTAGAACGTCAAATTCATCATCTTCTTCAAAATCAACATCTATGTTAAATACAAAGAAATCTCATTAATTGTGTTTTGTTGAGTAGCGGGAATTGTTTTAGTTTTTTTAATAAGATTGGCAAAATGTAGATTTCAAAATTGATTTTCCTTTAGATGAAGATGTTTGTGTCGGGGGAGGGGGCGTGTTGCCATATTGTTCATGAAACTCATTAAATAATGCATAAAATATATCACTAACCTCGTAGTATTTTTTTTCGGATCAATTGGGTTATCTTCATACATTGGAAGAGGACCATAAAAGCGGCATAATAATAGTTCAAACATTCTTCTAAAGAACCAAGTTTAAAACGAGGATCGAGAACAAATGCAATACCATAAATACGCGGAATATGTGCATAATATTTTAAAAACTTTTCCTTCATAAAATCAGCAAAATAACTCACATAAGGGGCATTCTTAAATTCTGCAAAAGCACCGGCGAGATTAACAGCTTCACGAATAAATTGGTTTGAGATATGTTTATAAACATGACTAAAAGTTTCAGTTGCATTAAAAAAATATACCAAAGCATTACAAATTTTTTCGCAAGTATCGATATCAGCCGAGTTTATAATATAGTTATCATATTGTTTTAAAAAAGCACGAAAATGTTCTTTATATCTAAGAACTTTCATTAACTTATAAGTACTATTCCAACAAATAGACAAATCTTTAGGATTTTTTTTTAAATAGTCGTTGTGACCCGAACCCGCACCCGACCCGGCCGGGGCGGGTCACCTTTTGCCGGAACGGAGCCCGCCCGCCGCTGCCCCCCGGTTCGGGTCTACACCGCCAGACCGGGCCGGTCTCGGGCCCGCACAGTAGCGGGCCAGGCCGAATCACGGGCCGGGTGGCCCGAACCGAATCCACCACTAGCCCGACCGATGTCGCCTTAAACTTTTCATCCCTCACACATTTGCAGATGCCAGATTGCCGCCGCCGCTACCTCAAGGTGTACAGTAATGATGGTTGTATGGGTTGCATGGTAGAGCCGGTAATTTACTTAAAATTCGTAACTTCCGAACGATAATGCATGTTTAATTAGCATCAAATCTATTCTACTAGTATTGAATGTCTAATAATGAACATTGTGATATCGACTTCATATCTTATAATTCACTTTTTTCTCTTATTTTTAAAAATATCTACGATGAACCCATATAAATCCAATATGCGAATTTAATGTAATATTATATGATGGACCCCCGGCCCACAGACTCCTACTTCTCCTGATCAGGCCCATCAAGCCCAATGAATGCGCAAAGCCCAGACATAGCGGCCTAAGTATCAAGAAGCCCACAAATACACATGTAAGTGCCTTCGGCCTCCTTGGCCGAGGGCTCCAAATTCCACAGAACAACTTCATTTGAGCACACGAAACTATTGGGAGAAAACGGCAGAAACAAGGAACCTTCGGCTCAGCCGAGCTTTCGCCTAAATAGAGCCTTCGGCATACAGCAGACTCAGCGAAGATTCCCTGTAGAGACAAGCAACCACCACATTTAATGTGGCGTCACGTCCAACCACCGTATTTAATGCGGTGCACATGCATATGTCGGTGCCACCCCGATTGATGTGACTCCTCAGTCATTAGATTGTTGACACATGATCTCTCATCGTATTTATGGCTGCTATAAATAGCAGCCCTTATTCACCTTGTAAAGCACGCTGAGTTCATTTAATACATTTGACTCTCTCTCTTACTTGTTTGCTCTGACTTCTCTCTAGTTATTCTCTGCAATAACCCTCGGATAAGCTACCCCCCGGGTACACTATCCATCATTTGGTGCTCTCGTTGAGAGGTCGAACAATCAAGTAAGAAACCCTCTCCTTCGCCAAACACAAAAAGATGGGAAGAACCACCCGTGCCCAGTCCAAGACCCTTGAGGACAACAACTTGGCCCTCAGCAAAGTCGATGCCCTCAGAGCCTCCAACAAGGCTCCCGAGGGCGGAGTCATCGTCGGGTTGGAATAGGCTGTTGTTGACCTGCGCCTTCAGCTCCAGCAGAATACTCTCGATGCTCGTCTCGGCATCGAGACTAGAAGGAAGGACCGGAGCGAAAACCAAGTGAGCCCTCCGGTCCTCACTATTGATGTGCAATCGGCTTTTTCAGCCTTCATCCACACTCTTACTCATAATCCAGGTGCCCTCGGTGCCCTTGTACCACCTCAGAATCACGTGGGGGAGAACGTCATTCCTCTCCCGCCACTTCCGCCCCCCTTCGTTTGCCTGGTTCCAAGAACCGGAAACAACGAGGGGGTCGTTGCTCACGATACCGCCTCCTAGGAAGTCCAGTCCTGGGACCAGCGCGGCGCAAACAAAGATGGGCCCTAGACCTCCGCCTTCGAGAGGCTCGGAGGGGTGAAAGATCGCCGAGGGGTCCAAGACCGCCTCGGTGGTAAGGCATTCCGAAGACCTCCAGAGAGCGGAGGATCCGTCTCAAGGGCAGACGAGAGGCATCCCCCTCGGGACAAGGGTAAGGGACTACTGCATGCAGGTGACGCCAGACACCAAATCAACCAGGCTCACTCAGCCCGCGTACAATCTCTGGGGGCGGAGCCAATGCCGAAGGACCCCAGGGATGATATCATTGCGGCCCTTCAGCGCCGCCTCGACGAAATGGAGGCCCGCTAGGTTCACACAACCGTTTCCGCCTCCCATGCGGATCCTAAGTATGAGGCCATGCTGGCCAAAATGGATGAGATGCAGAAGAAGATTGTTGAAGGCTCTGGGAACCCGTCATCCTGCTCCGGACAAGGACGCCATTTACCCCAAGGGTATTGGCGGCCTAGATTCCGGGAAAATACCGAGGGCAGCCCGTCAAGCCCTATGAAGGGAAGACTGGCCCCCAGGAGCACTACAACAAGTACCAGAACAACATGATGCTGGTGGGGGCATCGGGTGAATATTTATGCCGCTGGTTCCTTTCCACCTTGGAGGGACCAGCGTATGAATGGTTCAACCGGTTACCCGAAGGCAGCATTGATTCATGGCAAGAACTTGGCCACCGTTTCTTGACATAATTCGTCGGGAGGCACCGGTCAAAGAAACATTTCTCCCACCTTCTGAACGTAAGGAAACAGAAGGAGGAGACCCTTTGGAGTTTCCTAGAACGGTGGAGGCAGGCCTCCATCGAAGTCGATAGCGCCGACGATAGGACACTGATGGCCCTATTCCATACCGTCCTCCACAACGGTAATTTCTCCAGGAGCCTCATTACAGATCCCCCCCCCCCCTCGCGATTATACGAAGGCCCTCCTGCGGAGGGACCGATATGCTGAGGCCGAGGAGATCAAGAAAGATCGTCGTAACCCGGAGCCTTCACAAAAGCATGAAGGCAGAAATCGCCCCCCCCCCCGGGGGGGGGGGGGGCACCCCGTCCAGCCAACCGCGAGGTGCAGTACAACGACTGACCCCGGAATGGCCAAGCCAGACCCGGGGGCGGCTACAAGAACAATCTGAGGGTGTGGGCCCAGTCTACCCTCCTGGAGCACCCACACACCTCTCTGACGCATCCCATCAGCGTTATCTTGGAATATGCGGAGGAAAGAGGCCTTATGGAGCGAGACTCACGTGCACCCCTAGAGGTATATGTCATCAATCCCAACGAACCTTATTGTCGCTTTCATCGACATCAAGGGCACATGACCGATGACTGCCACCATCTGAAGGCAGCCATCAAAAGGTTAATACAGGCAGGCCATCTGTCTCAATTCTTCAGGGGCCCTCCTCCTCAAGGGACCCCTCATCACCAAGGGGCCCCGCCGAAGGCCAATAAGTGGGACAACCCAAACACCATCCCCTTGGGAAATCCACATGGGAAGAAGCGTGAGATTGGGAACCTCAATGAGGATGAGGATCCACAGCACCAGTACAAGCGCCACATCCACATGATCACCGGAGGCAACACTGAGGGTGACTCCACGAGCCAAAGGAAGAAGTGGGCTCAATCCTTTTACGTTGGGGAGGTCAATCATATGTTCCCAACTAAGAAGCCGAAGGCAGACCCTATCTTCTTCACAGATGCGGATCTACCCCCGGGTTCTCTTCCTCACAGGGACGCCCTCGTCATCCAGACGGAGATCAACAACACCATCATCCTCAGCACTTATGTTGGCACATGTAGCTCTGTCAACGTTATGTATCTCAGCACTTTTCGGGAACTTGAGCTCGATATGGGATCCCTTTGGCGGATCAGGACACCCCTCTCCGGGTTCACGGGGGACAGCATCGACGCCGAGGGTGTCATTTCTCTGATGGTTGATTTCGGCGATGGATTCCATAGGGCCAAGCTCGAAGTGAAATTCATCGTCGTCAACCTTGACTGCGCCCACAACATCATCCT